TTGAAACTTCATTCGCCCTGCTTCAAAATTGTTAAGGAAGTTGAAAGAGATATTAGAGATTGTGCTTTTTTTTAATGATAAAGGACTGTGCTTGTAATCACAGAATCTTTGAGTTAGAAAATAACTTTAGAACTACCTAAAATAAAATCTCCATAGTAAAAGCACAATTTTTTAAATATCAGAATTCATGCATGTTTATTTCATTCAAAACCATAAACATGTGTTAGGTATTATTGCCCCAATTTATAGGAAATTAAAGCTCAAGAGGATCAAAAACTTACCTAATATAACACAACTATGAAGGGAGGAATCCAGGAGTCAAACATGAATTTTTTGACTTGCACAAATATTTTACAAAAAATGTTAGGTGATATTTTTCAGGTCTTCTATCTAGAATACTGGTAGAATTACAAATTGTACTTCCTTTCTGTAAGGCAGTTTGACAAGATGTACTGAAGTCCTTCAAAATGTTTATCTCCTTTAAGCAAGTAATTCCTCTAGGTATTTATCTCAAGGAAGCAATTAAGGATATATGTAAAGATTTAGTCTTAAGAATATTTATTGTAGCTTTATTTGTAATAATTAAAGGTTGGGAATGATCCAAAATGACCAATGTGAGGATTGCTTAAACTATTCTTCAACTCCCCATGCTAATTGCTTCCCTTTGGTTTTCTATTGTCAGAAGTGTGGTGACACCTTTTGAAAGTGTAGTGCTCAGGACTTCATCTAGTATTCCAAGGGTGATCTGATTTCACAGATGACAGTAGGTCCAGGATTGCCTCTAATCTTGACGTGAAGAAGCCAAGTTTCTGGCCATGATGTCTTCTCTGTGTAACTGGGGCTGCTGAAACCCAAGTATTGTCAGCCAGTGCCGGTCCCCAGCCATGCTTGTGTGTTTTAAGGAGTGACAGTAACTGCTATTTGTGGAGATGGCTATTCACAGAGACTCCTTTTCTTTGCTTGACAGAGGCCCAGTGTTCAAGCTCTAAGAGGGGCTCTGATGCCAGCATGTGAGTCACACTCCCTTGCTACTGTTCTTTCCGAGTTTTGGGCCCCTTGTTGCTGCATATCACTACCCCCTCTCCTCCTGCCCAGCTTGCATTGTCACCCTGCCTCATCTACCGTGCTGTGCTTGAACATAATGCTCTTCTCTGCATTCCATGTGTCTACTTAGTATTTTGGGACTCCGTTTAGAAAGAGCTGAATCTGCTGTTGGTGTCTAGATCCAGGAAAGAATGCTGATCAACTTTTGGCAATAGTTGTTTTAATATATGTCGTGATTGGTTCTTGATTTCCATATTGTCTTGAATATTTCTTATTGGCATGTATCTTAGGAATATTTTCTGAAAAAACTGCTATGAAAATGTTAGGTTTTTTAAAAACTTACCATGAATAATTGAGTTGTCAAAATGGTAAAACATTGTTTTGACTTTTAATTTTTCATTGATGTGAATTTCCTTAGTGCTTTAGGCTTGAGAAGTTTATCAAGCTCTTGCTTTAGCTCAATTCTTCATGCACATCCTAAACATTGATATACCTTATTCTTATAATCTCACAGTTACTTTTTATTTTTTATTTTTGAGTTGGAGTCTCACTCAGTCACCCAGACTGAAGTGCAGTGGCCACTCCCTGCCACCACAGCCTCGACCTGCTGGGCTCCGGCGATCCTTCCGCCTCAGCCTTCCAAGTAGCTGGAACTACAGGCACGCGCTATCACACCCGGCTAATTTGTTTGATTTATTGTAGAGATGAGGTCTCGCCAAGTTGCCCAGGTGGGTCTCGAACCCCCCGGCTCAGGCAATTCACTCACCTCGGCCTCCCAAAGCATGGGATTACAGGCTGAGCCACCGAGCCCGGCCACAGTTATTTTTTAAAGGTATATCCAGTTGTTTGGGCATCATAATTTCTGACTTTTTTCACACTCAGCATTTCTAAAAACTCATTGGGAATGATGAATGCACTGCATTGTCTTCCCTTTGGAAAGTCACATTATAGTTGAGCATGTTAAAGGCTCTAGAAATCTTGCAGTAAGGAAAACTGTTCACATTTGCTATTATAACACTTCTTAGAATTATTTGACTAAGAAATTTTTTTCTCCACAAAATACCAGTTAACATTCCACAGAAATATTATTATGCAGAATGTATTTGGGAAGAGGCATGGAATTTTTCCTACAATCCATTTCTCTGTCTTTTCAAGTTTCTCTTTTCCTCAGGAAGATGTTACTGGCAGCTGGTGTCAGGCAGGACCATGAGAAGGGGCCAGGTTTGCTTGTGGCTTTGTTTGTTGGTTTATTTATTTATTGAGTGGGGTCTTACTCTGTCACTCAGGATGGAGTACAGAGGTATGATCATGGCTCACTGCAGCCTCCAACTCCTGGGTTCAAGTGATCTTCCTGCGTCAGCTTACAGAGTAGCTGGGACTGCAGGTGTGTGCCACCATGCCTGGCTAATTTTTTTATTTTTTTGTAGAGACAAGGTCTTGCTATATTGCCTAAGCTGATCTTGAGCTCCTGGGCTCAAACAATCCTTCCACGTAAGCCTCCCAAAGTGCTGGGATTACAGGAGTGAACTACCACACCCAGCCTGCTTGTGGCTTCTTACATCTTTTTCCTTTCTTGACTGGGAGCATGTCTCTAGTCCAGGCCTTGTTGTTACTCCTACTGCTCAGAATCTCTCTCTGAGATGGGGTAACTGGGCTCCTTCCCTAGCTCCTTCTCTGGACTAACCTCTTTTTTTGTCAGAATTTGCCTTCTGTATATATATTTTCCATATAAAATGGGGAAGGACCAGATCACTGAATTCATGTCAAGTGTTGCTAGAGAATGCCAGCTTAATGTGTTTTTCTTGCCACTGGTCCTATTTGCAGTATTACAAGCTGACACTTCCTAAGCTGTGTAGTCTAATAGATAAGGTATATGTTTCATAAGTAGAGACACATGGTGATGAATTTAGATGCTATCATTTTGTTGTTGTTGCATTTACTTTTGGTGTTTTAGTCATACATTATTTGCCTAGGCTGATGTCCAAAGGGTTTTTCTTAGATTTTCTTCTAAGATTTTTGTGGGTTCATGTCTGACATTTAAGTCTTTAATCCATCTTGAGTTAATTTTTGTATATGGGGAAATAGTGGAATCAAGCTTTCCTTTTTTTCATGTAGCTAACCAATTTTCCATTTGTTGAATTGGGTGTCCTTTTCCCAGTGTATGTGTTTACCTGCTTTGTCAAAGATCAGTTAGTTGCGGGTTAGATCCTTCATTTACTAGAGGAGTTTAATAAGGTAATTTAACCCAAAAATCAGTTTTCTAGATGTAAAATTGTGGACAGTAGTCTATCTGATACTTTTTTTTTTTTTTTTTAGGATTAAGTGGTATAATGATTGTAAATCCAGGGTTTAATAATCGGTAGCTATTGTTGCTATTATTTGGTTATGGTTCTGTTACCTCTGATTTTTTTTCCCAATATTTTATTATTAAAAAGTTCAAACATACAGAAAAGTTAAAATAATTGGACAGTGACTGGGTATGTGGCTCATGCCTGTAATCTGGCACTTTGGGAGGCCAGAGTGGGAGGGTTGGTTGAGCTCAGGCATTTGAGACAAGCCTGAGCAATGTGGTGAGACCTCATCTCTATAAAAAACAAACAAAAAATTAGCTGATCATGGTGGTGTGTACCTGTAATTCCAGCTACTCAGAAGGCTAAGGCAGAAGGATTACTTGAGCCTAGAAGTCGGAGGCTACAGTAAACCAGTAAGCTGTGATCGTGCCACTACATTCCAGCCTGGGTGATAGAGTGAGACCTTGACTTAAAAATTAAAAAAAATAAAATAATTGGACAGTGGACACTCATAAACTTACCACCTAAATTCTATGAATAATATTTTGTTATTTTCTATTTGTCACATGTATGCGCACCTATCCATCTCTTTATCCATTTTTAATTCATCTTTTTAATGCATTTTAAAGTAAATTGCAGGTGTCCTCCCCTAAATATTTCAGCCTTATGATCATTAGCACTAAGTTCAATATTTATGAGTTTTCTTTTGGTAGTGGGGATACATCTAGATATAGTGAAATGCACAAATTATATCATTTGTTGTGCAATCCATACCCCTATGAAGATATAGAATATTTCTGTAACCCAGAAAGTTCCCAACGCTCCTGTCTAGTTAGTTCCTACCTCTACTCCTAACCCTGAATATTTCCTGTGATTTTTAGTGCTAGAATTTATGGTACCAATTATAGGCTAGTGATAGGAATATTTGGTTGCTGGGGAGTTGCGGGTATTCTTCTTATCACACCACAGATGTTGGAACTTGGTGCCTTTTTTTCCATAAGAGAGTTTGTAAATTTTGAATTTTCATTAAAAAATAATCATTTAACCATTCATTCAGCAAACATTTAGTTACTAGATCCATTATAAGTGCTGAAGGATATGTTCTGGAATCAAGTGAGTGCAGTAGAGCATTACAGAAACTCTGATAGGAACAGGAATACAGTGTGTAGTGCAGGCAACCAAGAAAGGGGTGATTTAGTGCTTCCTGACTTGACTTGAAAACATAGGCAAGGATGGCCTCTGAGAGGAGGTGATATCTGAGCTGAGTATTGCAAAAGGTGAGTTGGTGTTTGCCAGTTATTAGTGGAATGGGACAGAAGTGGGAAAAGGGCATTTCAGGGTGAACATGGGCAGAGAACTTGGTATGGTGGGGAATGGTTTTGTTAGGCTGAAGCAAAGGTGGAAAAGATAAAGCTAGAGTGGTAGGTAGAGAGGACTTTGCAGACCATGTAAATAGCTTTGGTTTTCTTCTGTAGCCTGGAAAGTAACTTAAGAGGTTTATTTGTTTATGAAGGAGATTATACTCAAGAGATATAAATTGTCAATCAATGCATTTAGATGCTTAAGAATGTTTTATAATTAAGATCATATTTCTTCTTTTTTATTAAACTGTCATTTTATATTCATAATCTGACCTTTTCTCCATTTATGTCTCTAAAATGACAGGTAGTGTGCCAGTATTTGAAAAATCCTAATGTATCTGATTCACTGATGCTGCAAAATATTTTCCAAGCTTTGAATGTATATTACAATTATTCAGGCCAGGTGAAATGCCTGAATATTTCAGAGACAACAACTAGCAGTCTGGGATCCCTGGGTTGGAGCTATCAGGTAAGTGTGTATAATTTTCCAAGTAGAACTTACTTTTCACTGATACATTTGTGCTGTAACAGAATACATAAGATTTTTTCACCTAACTTGGATTTACCTTATATACTGTGAGACCACGGACAAATTTCCTCATTTATTCATTCAGCTAATATATATATTAAATCATCAGCTAATTCATTCAGCTAATATATATATTAAATCATCAGCTAATATATATATCAAGTGCTTGCCATATGTCAGGCACCCTTCTAGACTTTCAAGATACAAAGATAAATGATACTTGATCTCACTATCAAATATAACAACCTGGTGAGAAAGATAGGTAACTAAATTAGTATTTTACCAGATCTTGATAATTCCTATAAAGGAAGCATTTTATAGAAACATAAAAGAAGGAAAGTCTAATTTGACTGTGAGTTTCTATTCCTTCATCTGTACAATGAGACTAATAATAATTCTTTCTGGCCGGGTATGGTGGCTCAGCCTATAATCCCAGCACTTTGGGAGGCTGAGGCAAGAGGATTGCCTCAGCCCAGGGGTTCAAGACCAACGTGGGCAACTTGGTGAGACCTCATCTCTACAATACATAAAAAAATTAACCGGGTATGGTAGGGCATGCCTGTAGTTCCAGCTACTTGGAAGGCTGAGGCAGAAGGATTGCCTGAGCCCAATAGGTTGAGGGCTGTGGTGGCTGTGAGTATGCCACTGCACTCCAGCCTGGGCAACAGAGTGAGACTCCAACTCAATAATAATAATAATAATGATAATACTTTCCTTCCCAAGCTGTTTTGAGGGTTCAATATGATAAAAGATATGAAAGAAAACCACCTACAAAGAAGGAATATATAGTACTAACTACTGTGACTTCTCAGTCAAGCCTCTGTATGAATAATGAGAGGTCATATGGCACAGAAGTAAAGAACGGGCTCTGAAGCTGGCTTGCTTGAGCTTGAGCTTTGACTTTTCTACTTACCAGCAGTGTGACTTTGAATAATTTATTTAACCTATTTTTGTCTCATTCTATTTCTTTTTGTTGTTGTTTTGTGTTTTTTTAAGTTGGAGTCTCACTCTGTTGCCTATGGCCACTGCAGCCTCAACCTGCTGGGCTCAGGCGATCCTTCTGCTTTAGCCTTCCAATTAGCTGGAACTACAGGCATGTGCCACCATGCCCAACTAATCTTTATTTATTTATTTATTGTAGAGATGAGGTCTTGCCATGTTGCTCAGGCTTGTCTTGAACCCCTGGGCTCAGGCAGTTGTCTTGCCTCTGCCTCCCAAAGTGCTGGGATTATAGGTGTGACCCACCACACCCATCTTGCCTCATTTTCTTTTCTTTCTTTTTTTTTTTTTTGAGTTGGAATCTCACTCTCGCTCAGACTGGAGTGCAGTGGCTGCTCCTGGCCACCGCAGCCTTGACCTGCTGGGCTCTGGTGATCCTTCCGCCTCAGCCTTCCAAGTAGCTGGAACTACAGGTGCGCGCTACCACGCCTGGCTAATTTTTTGATTTATTGTAAAGATGAGGTCTCGCCAAGTTGCCCAGGCGGGTCTTGAACCCGCGGGCTCAGGCAGTCCACTCACCTCAGCCTCCCAAAGCGTGGGATTCCAGGCTGAGCCACCAAGCCCGGCTCTCATTTTCTAATTGTATCCTCTTTTTGTTTGCTTTTTAGGCCTGCACAGAAATGGTCATGCCCTTTTGTACTAATGGTATCGATGACATGTTTGAACCTCACTCATGGGACATGAAGAAATTTTCTGATGACTGTTTCCAACAGTGGGGTGTGAGACCAAGGCCCTCCTGGATCACTACTATGTATGGAGGCAAAAACATTAGTTCACACACAAACATTGTTTTCAGGTGAGTTTTTGCTGGTCCAAAGAGAAACTTTGGTTGATGGGGACATTTGTAGAATAGCTGAGAAATAGAACAAGAGAAATGCTGGAAATAAAACAATATAGAATACAACAGTGGTACCCATCATGTTTCCCTGTGCCTTGAAAGATAAAGGATGCTGAGAAGAGGTATGTTTTTTTGCTCTATGGCCAATGTACTTTATTAAAGGCTTAAAAAACAACAGCAACAAAAATTTTAAATATTTAAGAGAAAAACTCTCTAGCACAATATTAATCTTCATCTGTTGTTTCCAATTTTTCTTATTATTGTTACTATTGTTATTAATGATAATTAAAAATTTCCAATATTTATTCAACAAACATTTGAAGGACCCACTCTGTTCTAAGTACTAAATGAGGCATTTTATATAGATTTCTTAGTTGAATCCTTACAACAACCTTGAGAAATAGTTGTTACAGTTTTGTTTTTTTTTTTTACTGAGGAGGAAACTGAAGGTCACTGTTTTCAGTCACTTGTCAAAGTTCATTCAGTTTTGTTTTAGTTACCAAGTGATAAAGCCTGCTTTCTACCTTGGCCTCTTTGGCTACAAAACCCATGTTTGTTCTTCTGCATTATGCTGCTCAAGAAGTGACATATTTGCTGTTGGGTCGCATCAGAGTTAATTGAGTACACTCTATGTGTATCTGACCGTGACTTCAAAATTTCAATGTTTTGGCTTGAGCATTAAGCCTTTAAGAGAGCAACGAGTTAATCAAAATTTTCCCCAAATCTATGTGAAAATAGGAGATACCACTGCATATCTCTTAACCAGAGTTGTTGTTAAATTGTAAGTATTATTATTTTGCAAACTCTTTTAAACAAGCATCAAATTTGGTTTTTGGAACATAACCAAGAGATTTTAGGAGTGAGAAGTGCTGTTTGCCTAGAGGTTGACTTTCTGAATTTAGTCTGGTGGCATCGCCCACTTTGCAAAAAAGCCTCTGACTTATTGGACTTATGCTGTTGTCTAACCTTGTAGGATACCTGTCCCCAAATAAAAGGTAAGACACGTTAAAGATTCTTTTGTTTAATTTCCTTAAATTTTTTTTCATGTCCTCAGTAGGATTCTTCAAAATATACTCTTTTAACTCAGTCTTATAAAGTGACTACTGAGCAAATAAATCTACTAGGGTGTTTAAGGAAGTGGTGCCAAATTTAGGTGTTTGAAATCAGGAAAACATGACAAGACTGAGAGGACTGAAAAAGACTTAAGCATAAGCCTTTGGGTCTGTCTTAGTCTATTAGTGCTGCTATAACAAAATATCTGAGACTGGGTAATATATAAATAGCATAAATGTACTCACAGTTATGGAGGCTGGGAAGTCCAAAATCAAGGAACTGAAAGGTTTGGTGTCTGCTGAGGTCCCAATCTTTGCTTATAAAATGACACCTTAAAGGCAATATCCTAGGCCAGGAGTGGTGGCTTATGCCTATAATCCCACCACTTTAGGAGGCTGAGATGAGAGGATTGTCTGAGCTCAGGGGTTCAAGACCAGCTCAGGCAACTTGGCGAGACCTTATCTCTACAATAAATCAAAAAATTAACTGGGCATGGTGGCACATGCCTGTAGTTCCAGCTACTTGGAAGGCTGAAGTGAAAGGATTGCCTGAATCTAGCAGGTCAAGGCTGCGGTGGCCATGAGTGTGGGTGACAGAGTAAGATGCCAACTCAAAAAAAAAAAAAGGCAATGACCTCACATGGTGAGAGGTGGAAGGTCAAAAAGGGACCTATTCAGTTTTCTTCCAACCCCTCAATGAGGCACTCATCCATTCATAAGGATGGATACTCATAACTTAGTCATTTCCCAAAAGGCCCTACCTCTTAATACCACTACAATGGGGATTAAGTTTCAACACACAAATTTTGGGGGACAGTCAGACCACAGCAGTCTCCAAGATCAACTTTGTTCCATCAGAGGAGGAAAACTTTGTTAATTTCTGTTTAGGAGCTTATCTCCATGGAGTATTTAGTATTTCTCTAAGCGTTCCGAACTTTAAGCTCATCCATCTTTGCTTTGCCCCCACAAAGTTGAAGAGCAAGTTGAATTGTTAAGTGGAGTCTTTAATCTTTGAATAAAGTTTTAATATATGAGTTTTGGTCAATTATATTGTCTTTTTTTTTTAAGGCGAAGTCTCACTGTTGCCTAGGCTGGGGTGCAGTGCCATGCTCATGGCCACTGCAGTCTCGATCCACTGGGGCTCAGCCAATTCTTCTGCCTCAGTCTTCCAAGTAGCTGGAACTACAGGGGCACATCATCATGCCCGGTTAATTTTTTAATTTATTATAGAGACAAGGTCTTGCCAAGTTGCCCAGTCTGGTCTTGAACCCTGAGCTCAGGCAATTCTCTCACCTCTGCCTCCCAAAATGCTGAGATTACAGGTTTGAGCCACCGCGCCTGGCTCACTGTCCTTTTTTTCATTGTATTTAACCATTATAGATAAATATTTTAGTTGTCCACTTACTCTTTTATATTATTTTTCTCAGGCTATCAAAATCACCATCATTATTATCACTGGAGAAGAAGGGGGCATGTTTTGTGAGAAAAGTTTTAGGAATAGAACAGAAATCAGTAGGTGGAAATTATGGCTGTGTAAGAAACTTTTAGCTCAGTGTATAAAAGGACTTTAAGAGCTGTGCAAAGGTAGAATGAACTGTCGTAAATAAAATTACCTAACCTTTTTGATCTTCAGTTTTATCTTTTGTGAAATGAGAATGATAATACCGCTCACCCCATAAAGTTGTTGTGATACTTAAAAGAGCACAGCAAAGTACTTAGCTCAGATCTGACAAATACATATGCTCAAAAAAAATATGTTGAATGAATAAATGGAAGTACCCGCTCTGTCTTGCCATTTATGTTCTTACTAAAGAGAACTGTATGTTTGTCTCTGAATATCCTTTTCCTTCCTCTTTTCCCCTTAAGACTCAGGCCTCCTCCAAGAAATCTTCCTGACCCCTCCAGGGAGGATAGGTTTCTGCTCCCACCTAGCTCCCCCAGCACCTGTGAATACCACTTATCACTGTGTGTAAATTAGCTGTTTGTGTTTCTCTGTCCCATGAGATTGTGAACTCAATTGGCAGGGACTTCATCTTAACCATCTCGTAGTCTTTAGCACCTGCTACAGTGGCTGGCACATAATGAATGCCCCATAAATGTATGTGTTGATAGGGGCAAAGAATTAAATACACAACTGAGGAAAGCTTCCGAAGCATGTGAAAGTTTAAAAACAAGATACTGGTTTATCTTTCTGCAGTGACAAGTCTACTTTTACAAATAAATCTTTTTCTATAGGCTGCTAGGTATGAAAAATCCAATTAGAAATTTATTTTTAAGTTATTAAGAATTCAAAATGCTCCTGCTTTTCTGAAGAAAGCACATTTCCAAAGTAAAGGAGCAGCCTCAGTTGTTTCTATTCTATGTAATTTGTGGCTACCAGCTATAAAATATTTCTGGTTGATGAGTAAGATGATGTTCAAGGAATGCTGTGGAAAGCATCTTTGTGTCCAGGCTTCTCTCCTTAGACTGCCTCACACAAATCCAGTGTGACTGCTTTTCTGTTTGGGAAGCTCAATCTGTAATTGTTGGGTTGGAGATTTACCAGTTAAGGCTTTGGACTCAGGTAGACGTTGATGCCATTCTGCCCTGAATTAGCTGCATGGACTTGAGCAAGTTGTCAGTTTATTTAAGTTAGAAATGATAATGATGACCTATCAAGGTTATTTCAAGAAGCAAATAGATTATTGTGGGAGTAAACAACATCAAAGTACAGATTTTGTGTTTTGTTCACTGCTGAATCTTGTGCCAAATCAGTGCCTAATACATAGTAGGTGCTCAGTAAGCATTTGTTGAACAAATAAGTCCTTAATAAATAGTAGCTGTAAATGGTCTCATTTCAGCAGTTTTTTTTAAATTCCACAGTGGTATTGCTGGATTTATTTTTCTTTCCAACCCACAGATATTGTTTTACTAATAGCCATTCTCAGTTATTTAAACATAGATTCAAAAGGAGTTCCTGAGGAGCTGGTTAGTTTAACAACATTTCTCAGGCACATTAATTGTTGCCAGCGATTAAGTGAGACTCCCTGTTGCGATTTTACCCAGGCATCTAGATCCTCTCATGAAAGCCCTTTTTTTTTTTTGTAGATTTCCCAATGATTGGTTTAACTTTCACATGTCTAGGACCAAGAAATTCAAGTCCATGTGCATCTTAGGTTTCTCAGCAACTCCAAACACTGTTGCTAAGCCACTAGGCTATTTCAGATGACCTTTTAAATCAAATGCAGTTTGCTTATTATGTGGCTGTTGGGATAGCTTTTTTGTTTTGCAAATAATGGAGAGTTTCCTATCTGGGTTGGACCTGTCAAATTGGAATAATGATGAAGGCTATTTGTTCACTTAAGATAATTCAATTTCTTTGCAGTTTACTTTAAAAATTAATCTGGTTGCCGAAAACAATTTTGCATGGGAATTTTTAACAAAACCAAAAAAGTACATTTTTGGAATTTTTTTTTTAAGAGTAATGTTATTAAGTTGTAATTGAACAGAACAATTGTATTTTAAACATACATATACTTAATGTACCTAAATTTTTTTCTCATTTACTTTGTACATTTACCTAGAAAAAAATTGATCAAAATAGTAGTTTGACCAAATTTTTATGAGAAATGCTTTCACATCGGTTTTCATGATTCATTTACCTCTCAGAGGTATTAACAGGATCAAGTTGGCTGCTTTATTGATACTAGATTGTAGGGGGATAAGAGTTGAAGGAGGAAGATGAGTTAACAGGCTATTGTAGTAACTCAGGTTAGAGATAATGGTGACTTAACTCAGGGTGGTGGCAGTGGATGTAGTGAGAAGCGGTCAAATTCTGGACATATTTGAAAATATAGCGAGAATATTAAAGGGGGTGACACCAAACTTTTTGGCCCGAGCAACTAAAAGGATACACTTACCATTAACAGAGATTGGAAATATGATGGGAGGGGATAATGGGCATTTGGAGAGTATCAAAAACCCAGTTTTAGACCTGGTAAGTTTGAGATGTCCAATTTTCATGTAAAATGTCAAGTATACAGTTAAGTTTTGGTTCTAAAATTTAGGGGAAAGGTTCTGGCTAGAGATATTATTTGTTAGTCATCTGTATGTAGATTGTACTTATAGCTGAGAGTTTGTTGATGGTTATGCAAATTATGAGAATACTTGCATCTATTTGATAATATGATATTGAAGATTTTTTATTTCAGGATTTGTAAACAATACCAGCAAATAGAATGTGTATTAAGCAATTGTCAGAATGCACATAAAAATATAAGTGACTTCAAGTGGTACCTCAATAAAGATATCCCAAAAGGTGCCATGCTAAGCTCTGATACTTGCCTTGGGCCAAGTATTTGGATCCAGGTATTTCAGTGCCAACTTTATCCTGAGGAATCTGAGTTTCCACAAGATTAGGTGGCTGAGGAGCAGACCTAGCTCTGGAACCCAGGTGTATCTGATCCCAAAGCCCCTGCTCTTCTTAGTCTGAGCCACACAAGTCAAGAGGGTGTGAACTGTTGACTTGCAACAGCAATCATGTGTCCATGAAATGCAATGAAGTATAAGACTGAGCATTGGACAAGGGTTCTAAGACCTGAGCTTGTATCTCATATTTGCCAAGCTGAATGATTTCGGCAAGCTTTTTAACTTCTTTGGGAATCAGTTCTCTCAGCTATAAAAGGGTTGTAATTAAACCTACTTCATAGGGTTGTTATAATAATCAAATATGAAAGACTTTGTAAACTCTAAACCAATCTATGCATGTGTGGAGTTGATAATGTTAGGGAGCAATTTGATTTACAATAGCATTAAGAATAAAGCACTTAGAAATAAATTTAATGAAAGGTACAAGATGTGTACATTGAAAACTGCTTCATTTAAATGGAAAGACTTCTCATGTTCTTGTAATGGAAGAGATAATACTATTAAGATGGCAGTACTCCTTAAATTGATCTACAGATTAAATGCAATTTTTATTAAATTCCCAGGTGGCTTTTTAACAGAAATTGACAAGCTGATCTTAAGATTTACATAGCCAAAACAGTCTTGAAAAGAAAGAATAAATTTGAAGAATTCCTCATTTCCTCCGTAGTCAATACAATGTGATACTGGCAGAAGGATAGACATATAGATAAATGGAAGAGAATTGAGAGTTCAAAAAATCAACTCTTACATTGAGAGTCAATTGATTTCCAACAAAATTATCAAGACAACTCATTGAGAAAATAGCTTTTTCTTTTTCTTTTTCTTTTTTTTTTTTGAGTCAGTCTCACTCTGTCACCCAGGCTGCAGTACAGTGGCGTGCTCATGGCCACCGCAGCCTCAACCTGCTGGGCTCAGGTGATCCTTCCATCTCAGCCTTCCAAGGTTCTGGAACCATAGGCATGCATCACCACGCCCAGCTAATTTTATGATTTATTTTAGAAACGAGGTTTCACCATGTTGTTCAGGCTGGTCTTGAATGCCTGAGCTCAGGCAATCCTCTTACCTCTGTCTCCCAAAGTGCTGGGATTACAGGCGTGAGCCACCGTGCCTGGCTGAGAAAATAATAGCTTCTTCAATAAATAATGCTGGGAAAACTGTACATCCACATGCAAAAGAATGAGGTTGGATCCCTATATTATACTATCCAAAAATTTAACTCAAAATAGGTACAAGGCTTAAATGTAACAGCTAAAATTAGAAAACAGGAAAAAATCTTCATGACCTTGCGTTAGACAGCAGTTTATTTTTTATTTTTGAGTTGGAGTCTCTGTTGCCCAGGTTGGAGTGCGGTGGCATGCTCATGGCCACTGCAGCCTCAACCTGCTATGCTCAGGTGATCCTTCCACCTTAGCCTTCCAAGTAGCTGGAACTACAGGTATGCACTACCATGCCTGGCTAATTTTTTGATTCATTGTGGAGATGAGGTCTTGCCAAGTTGCTCAGGCTAGTCTTGAACCCCTGGGCTCAGGCAGTCCTCTTGCCTCTGCCTCCTAAAATGTTGGGATTACAGGTGTGAGCCACTGTGCCCAGCAACAGTAGTTTCTTAGATACAATACCAAAAACATAAACAACAAAAGAAAAATGAATAAATAAATTGTACTTCATGAAAATGAAAAACCCCTGTGCTGCAAATGATACCATCAAGTAAATTAAATGACAGTCTACAGAATGGGAGAAATTATTTTTGAATCATATATTTGATGTGGGACTTGTATCCAGAATATATAATGAGCTCTTACAACTCAAAAATAAAAAGATCGATAACCCAATTAAAAAATGGGCAGGGATATGCCAGGCGTGTGACTCACTGTTGTAATCTCAGCATTTTTGCAGGCCGAGGTAAATCAGGTAACTTGTGACATACAGCTTTTGAATGAAGAAGTCTACTTGAAATACAGCTTCTAAGGTTCAAGTCCTAGTATAGTCTAGGTTGACTTATTGGGGTGCGACCTTTGGTCTTCTCTGGCTCAATTTTTTGTACCTGGCTGCAGAAATACTATAAAATTCCAGATGAAGTACCTTTCTATATGACAGATTAGATACTCAGATCACATCTTCTGGTTATAAGTTTATAATTTTAGGTGTTAAGCATGTAATAAGTTTCTCCTATCTTCTTTTTTCTTTTCTGCTTACAAATTATTGAATAAGATTTCTCCTTATTTGGGTGTAGACATGAAAAGCTAACAACTTTCTTTTTTCTTCTTTTTTGTGTTGTTGCAGCAATGGTGACCTAGACCCCTGGTCAGGAGGTGGAGTAACTGAGGATATCACAGACACCTTGGTTGCAGTCACCATCCCAGAGGGGGCCCATCATTTAGATCTCCGAGCCAGAAATGCCTTAGACCCCAAGTCTGTGCTATTAGCCCGCTCCTTGGAAGTTAAACACATGAAGAAATGGATTGGAGATTTCCACGACAGTGCGGGAAAGCAGCATTGAGAAACTTTGGATCATTTTCAGTTTCTTCTTTTATGTTCACATCACTCACATTCCTGTTCACTTTGGTTTTCTACATATAATTCCTTTTCCTCGTTTATCATTAGATTTGGTGGGACTGAGGTTGAGATAGAAGAGAGGCTGGTGGTAGTGAGAGCAGCCATCCCATGAGTGTGATTCCTGGGTCCTCACTGTCTTTGTGCCACCTCCAAGAAGAATCTCCTCATAGTCACTCTCACGCCATCAGTGGCCCTCACAAGTGGAACAGAGTTCCTGACTACCTTTCATAAGAGGGAGAGTCACTTCCTTTGTGTCTCCAGGCAGGGATTTCACCTTTGTTTTGAGGTTGAAGTCTCTTTGACCTATTTTTAAGTCCCCACCCCTACCCTCCAAAAAAGAAAAAGAGAAGATAGATAAAAATGATGTAATTGCAGCTGGTAGGAAATATATCTTAGGCCAGTCTAGGAAATGGGAACCATTTCTTTTGTACTTGATGTAATGACATTGAACTGTGCTGTAAATAAATAATAAGGCTGGACCTTATACCTGTATGTTGCCTCTGAAGCTCACTCCAGCTGTTGGGAAGGCTGTGTGCACTGGGCTTGGTTGTTTTGGAAAGTCTTTTGATTTTCTCTCTTCCACTTGGCAGCTTTTTGTAGTTCTGGGATATTTGCCACTGTGGTACTGCCAGTAAGAAATCTGGCCTTTTTCTGCTCCATTTATCTTTGTTTCTAAGGTCAGTTTTGTGGCAATTTGATTAAATTCTGCCAGTTTAGGAAAATGACTCTGTTTTGCCTTTCACTTTAAATCTGAACAAGCTTTATGCTTTGGTCACTGATGATACTTCAGTGAGAAACCCTTAAAAAATGATGAATCAGCTATTCAGAAAATAGAATATAGTTATGTTCAGCTTTTTTATTTGTAAAATTTCATTTTCTGGTGGTGGTTGCTGCTGTCACTGAAGTCAGAAGTGTCAGGACACGAAGAGGCAGGTGCACAAGAACTTTTCTGTGTAGCTTCCAAAAGACAAGCTGACTAATTCATGCAGGCAGCATATTTGACATTAATAAATGGCCAAACCATTCCTATTTCCAAAGGGTTGGCTTCTTTCAAGCAGTTCTTACACTGAAACCTTTCTTCAGAAGAGCTTTTCTAGGGTAACAAATAGGGTTGGATCAAAACCTTTCAGGGACACAGAGAGAGACTAACAGTTTCTACCCTGTTGAAAGATTTCTTCCTCCTTGTTTCTTTTTATTTTATTACAATACATTTTTTTTCTTCACTGTGACTAGGGAACATTTTCTGCTTTTAAATAACTGTACTTTGAGCAGGATCATTCCTAAATCACTTTTTTTTTTTTAATTGCAGCTATAGAGCTTATTGTTGGGTGGGAGACTGAACTATTTCCCTTATTTTCCCTGGCATCTGGGAGATACAGGAAAATCTTTGTCTTGTTTTGGAAGCCTTCAGTTCTCATTGTAATGATTTGTCCATCAAAGCATTTGGTCACTGTTTTCGTTTCAGCATCAGAGAACCGTCTACTGGGGTGGGAATTTAAGGGTCAAAACAATTCTAGTTTTGATTCTTTGTCAACTAAAAAGTTACATAATGCAGGGTTTATAGACTTCATAGAGAATATTTTTATAATTTATTTGGGGATGTTTTCCTTGAAGCCTTTTGTCTTGTTTAGAATCTTTAAAATACTTTCCATTTTATTTAATATTGATTGCTTGGATGAGTTGCATTTTTCTGAAGAAACAAATTGCAAAAAAAATTTTTGCAAGTATAATTTGGTCCTATTGCTATAGATATTTCTATGTATAAGACAGCAGCCTTAACTGAAGTTACCCTAATTATAATGTGTTACTAAAAGATCTCTCATTAATAGACTGAGTTTTTTTTTTCTTTTTAGAGTCTGGGTCTGGCTCTGTCACCCAGGCTGGAGTGCAGTGGCATCATGAACTCCTGGGCTCAAACAATCCTACCATTTCAGCCTCCTTGAATAGCTAGGACTACAGCATGAGCCACCACTCCCCTTTAATTTTTTTTTTTTCTTTTTTTTTGTAAAGGTGGAGTCTTGCTGTGTTGTCAGGCTGGTCTCAAGCTCCTGACCTCAAGTGATCCTCCCGCCTTGGTCTCCTAAAGTGCTGAGAGTACAGACATAAGCCATGATGCCCAGCTTGTACTTTTTACAGATATGGAAAGAGAGATATGGAGAATGTGGTGTTTTTTATTTTCTGTTTTTGTTATTTTAACTGCCTGTAGTCAACGGGTAGAACTAAAGAAACTTAGGGAACTTTCTTAGGGAGTCTTTAGAGCCAAGAGATTATCTGGAGGAGCCAATGTCTAAGTTAGCATATTGTAAGGTAAAGGCACCTCAGATACACAGTCCAACCCAATCTGATTAACACAATCAGATACACAGATACCATTTTGTAGATGATTGAATTGTGTCCCAGAGAAAAAGGACTTGTGTCAGGCTTCACAGCTCATTTTTGGCAGAATAGAGGCTTGAATCCAGGTTTTATTTGTTCATTTCACCTTACTAGTGTAGCTTGATCTTTGAATTCAAGCAAAAAAAGCCCACCAAACCAGCTTAAGCAAAAGAGAGAATTTATTGAAATCATGCAAGGAACTCTATTGAAACTATTAATAGCTGCAAGACTTAGGATACTAGGAATCACAGGGGAATGGAACTAATGTTTGGGAAGTAATGAAAAGTCAAGACTGCTTTGTTCTGTTTCACTTTCAACAGAGGTCACCAGTTGTCAGACTGGATTGGATTTCTTCTTCAGATGTTGATAGTTTGGCAGTCGGGGTAAGTGTGTGTCAGAATTACCCAAAGGGCCTATAAAAACTCTGACTACTGAGCCCCATCCTAGAGTTTCTGACATGTTTTGGGTTGGATCTTGGGGTGTTGCAATTCTGAATTCCCAGATGATGCTGGGGGTTCATACTTTGAGAACCACTAGTTGAAAGAATCCTCAATTTAAATTTCTTCACACAGGGCATGCCCCTTCAGTTCATCTTAACTCCTGTTGTCCTGCCTGACCCATCTGAGTATGGGAACCAGGCTTAAAGCTTCTCTTCTCATTGCTGCTTCATCCTCCCTCTTCTCTACTTTCAAAGGCTCATGATGATTTCCCAGAATGGTGTCCTCAGCCCCCTGAGGCTGTACTGCCTCACAAGTACACAACCTTCATGGGAAGGTCACAAAAACAAGGTTACAGAAATACACTTCTTAGGATGGGGAAAGTGGTTCAAGCAACTCAGTTGTACAGCACCCACCACACAAAGTTTCTTGGTGCAAAGGTGTCTAATGAAATGGCAATAACTTATGTAGTAGAAAGATCCAAAGTTGAGAAAGTTTGGAAAGTAATGGGATAAACAATGTTTTATCTGTAAATATGCACGTGACTCTCTCAAATGGTAATGTAGGGTATAACTTTTTGTACTCTTGCTTAGCAGAACATCTACTAAGCATAAGGCGCTGGTCTGAAAAATACAATGGTGAATAACAAACATAGTACCTGTTCTAATAAGGCTTGCATTCCTATGGAGGAAAGACATAAAATGTCATTAAACAATGAAGTGGTACAATTATACGTGTTATGAAGAGTTGGGGCTATTAGGCGAGGACATTTAGCAAGAAATCTGAGCTAATCTAGAGGAATAACAATGCTTTTTAGAATTGTGATATTTTAGCTGTGATCTGAATGATGAATGGGTTTAGGAATAGGAGTGGAGAAAATGACACATGCAAATGTCCTCAGTGTAGAATTTTCAAGGAGCTAAAAGAAGATCACTGCAATGGAATAGTAGATAACCACAGAGAAAGTGACATAAAAATCTGGAGATGTGGGCTGGGGGAGTGCTCATTCCAATGGAGTTATTATAAGGATGGAACACTGTTTATGGACCTTAATCAGGGGAGTACCACGAACAGACTTTGCATTTCAAAGGAGCACTATGGGCTACAGAGTGGAGTATGCATTACGGGGGCAAGCAAGTTATGTAGGAGACCTCTATTGCAGTTGTCCAGGTAAGAGCAACGGGTAGCTTTGTCTAGAGTGGTAGCAATGGGGTTGGGGAGAAGTAGATGAATTCAGAATGATTTAGTAAGGAAAGTCAATGGGATTTGGCAGTAGGTTCTATACGAGATGTGAGTTAGGCAAGATGTCACGGAGGATGATTTCTGGTTAATGCACTTGGATAGATGGTGGTGCCATACATTGGAGAGGTGGCATTGGAGGGTGACCAGGTTTGGCAAGAAGATTATGGGTTTAGTTTTGTCATGCCTTGTTTTAAGTACTTTTGAAATAACTGAAGTAGAGGGTCACTTGAGCCTGGGGGTTCAAGACTACAGTGAGCTATAATCATGCCACTCAGTGTACTCCAGCCTGGGCAACAGAGCTAGACTCTGTGTCAAAAAATATAAATAAAAAAGTGAAATAACCAAGTGGAGGGAGCTGTCAAGTAGTGCTATTGGATACAGAGATCTGGAACTCAGTGTAGGCTGGAGAGTCATGGTAAGTAGGTATTAGTAGTAATCAAAGTGGGGGCTCAAGGAGCTAGTGTTTGAGGAACATACTTCAGGAGCTGATACTGTAGTGTCCCTACCAGGATACTTTTAAAAGAAATACCCAGACATCCTAATTCTCCTACGTACGGCTCCACTCTTAATTTTCTCTACATATGAGACCTGGTACAGCCTTTGCCATCTATCTCTCTGAACTCAGTTCCCATTTTTACTGCTACCCTTCTCTTTCCTAATACCCTACATTTTAGTCAAACCAACCTTCTCATCATTCTAAAATACTGCTCTTCTGCCTGAAATTCCTTTCTCAGAACCAACCTGCAATATTTTTTCACTGGCAAATTTCTGTGCATCATTTAAAGTCTAGATCAGTTTGATTACCTTCCCTGTGAAGTCTTTCCCAGCTTTCCTCAAGGAAGTCATTCCTTATCTCTGCTGTCACAGGACCAGGTTTACACCAAGTGTGCCAGTTAGAACGTAAACTCCACGGCAGTGGGGACTATCTGTCCTCATCACCAGCACCTTAGACAGTACCTGACCACCTCTAATTTGGTATACATTCCTAAGTTATAATATTTTGCTCAGTGTTCTTTCCCTGTTTTTAGGAAAATCAAGCTCTTTGTGGGCAAGGACTGTATCTAATTCCTTCTAGTAATCAGCATTTAGCACAGGTCCTGGCAGCCAGGTCTCATGAGACCCTCCATAAATTTATATTTAGGATACATTTCAAGGTGGAAAGGCCAAGATTTCAATTGATCTTTCTATGGTCAGGTACCTGTCATGGCTCTGATGTGCTACCATGTCCTTCTACCCTTGGCTTCCCTGGATTCTGGAAAGAGAATCTTTTAGAACTCAGTACCTCTAGAATTTGGACTTCCATATTTGCCCTCATTTCAACTGCAGTGCCCTGGCTTCTTGTCCCACTTCACAGGCTAGTACTCTTTGTCAAAGGAGCTGAGTATCTCTGTCTTGATGTTAGGTAGGGACAAAATATTGACCAGAAACAGAGCCGTT